CAGTGCAGTGGGTTTCTAAACTCAATCTCTAGACCCCACAAAATGTGTATGTACTTGTATTTTGACCCTCGATCAAAGAAAAGGCAGAAATCACTTTTCCAGGCGAGACTTTGAGCATACCTTGCCCTGGATTCATTGTCTCAAGCGTTTACCATGCTGACAACACATCATCAGTGCTGTCACAGTAAAGGTATAAGACATTCTTAGGGCCCGTCGTCTTTATGATCTTGCTTTAGAAAAAAAATTCCTGTTCCTCAAGCTACTGAATTAGAACAATACTAAACAATATATGTATTAAAAAAGAAAGTTCCCAAACCCCCCAAAAAAACTCTCAAGGAGAGACATCTAATTTTTTCTCTTGTTCAAGATAATCATATACACTATTGAGCTGTGAAGAATTCAGTAAAACTTGAGAATTCAGTAAAACTTGACAATGCACACACATCAGCTGAAGTATTTTCTACTTACTGGAGCAATGTCCATTCTTTGAAAACACTAACTCTAAACACAGCTGCCGCATGCACTCAAGACGCTGGTCAGGAAGCAACCTCCCAGAAGATTTTCTGTGTCTCCTGGGTACTACAGCCAACTAAGCACTAAACCACGGATAAGGCAAAGATGGGGTGAATACAAAGGACTATAGAGAAAACAGCAAAAGAAGCTGTCTCCAGTGCCCTGGGCAGGCTGGCTCCGCAGACAGCAGGAGAGTGCACAGGCACCAGGCACGAGCACCACTGGGTGGAGAAAGGTCACTTTATAGAGCAAACGTGTATCCCTGAAACACAGTCAAGGACATTCCCCCAGATACCACACTGGCAGTATCTTCTGTTAAAATGCAAAGCACAAAGTAACAATTTGAGGAATCCACATGCTGGTGATGAAGTAGAGAGAGCCTACCATTGCCTGGATAGCCACAGTGAACACAGGCTGGGAGGTCGGGTTTGGTGAGAGGTCAGGGCCTGTTCAGACTGCAGAATTGCCATAAACCATCATCTGAAACTGAGAAATCATGAAAGGTTCACTGAAAGCAAGCGAGCAGGTGTGCACAGGGCAGCCTGTGCAATCTGTTACGAGGTGCATGATAGTAGCAATACACCCAGAGGTGCTAGAAGACAGAGCAGGTGAACCTTTGCCAACGAGGCAGTGCATGGTAGAAAGTACAGTGTAATAGGTGAGGACAATTCAAATGGCATTCCTGTCTCTAGGCAGAGAGAACTCCTCTCCAAACTGAAATAGGAAACAGCTTCTGACAAATTCCTAAAAACAAACACACAGAACAACAAAAAAACAAAAAGGAAAGAGGAATTCCAATCCAGGAAGTAAAGGCTTTCTCTCTATTTTTTTTTAACCTATTTGAGGTATACTCCCTAAGTCTATAGCAGGTAATAAAAAGCTTATAAGGTATCTTCCAAAAGAAATAATAACACATGATGTTACACAGAAGGTTAAGATAGACTTACAACAAGCAAATTCAGCTTTTTGAAGACTAAATAGAATGCATGTTTTAAAAAGCAGGTCTCTTAAAAGACATAATTTTTTTTCCTTTATGCTTCATGTATAAAACTTCATCTTTACTGCTAGCAAATCTACTGCTTTTGGCCAGAAAAGAAATGCTGAGGACACAGGCTCAACTTTCTGATGGAGAAGACCAAGCAGGTGAGTCACTTCAGTGAACAAACACCTGTTATTTATCCATCACCTTGAGTCTTTGAAATTGGGTTATTCTTGCTGTTTATAAAAAGTAACACTTGAGGAGATCACAGACACACACTCTGTCTCTCTCTCTCTGTCTCTGTCTCTCTCTCACACACACACACACACACACACACACACACACATACAGAGTCGCACGCACTCAAGTACCAGGCAGGCCAGGCAGCTGCAGAGACTATCGCACCTCAGCTGTGTCTGGCCACCCACTCCACACTGGCAGCATTCAAGGTCAGAAGAATGAAATGGCAGCACAATTGGTCAGCAGCTTCTCTTCTGGAAGTTTTCCAGATTCTTGACACAAACAGACAAACAGACAAACATAAAGCTGCAATCACTCTTGCATTGATTTCGGAATAGTAAACTAGGCGGCCTCCTTGGACGCACAGAGCCCACGAGAGGATGCAGCTGGAAGGCATCCAGATGTGGTGGTCCTCAGCAGCTCTGCAGGCTTGCCTAGGGACCCATCAACCAGCAAGGGCATCCCTGGAGGGCCAGCTCGAGGCAGTGGCTGAGGCCTCAGGCTGTGTTCAGCTCTGAGGTGCTCTGGCCAGGCGGCAAGCGGGCGTCCGAGCTCTCCTTGCCCCTCTCTAGGTCCTGGAAGTACGGGTGAGACAGGGCACTGTAGGCGGATATTCTCTTGGCTGGATTAAATGTCAAGCACTTCTGCAAAAAAGAAAAAAAGTGCGGTTGATATGAAACATGTCAAGTAAATAACGTACATGCACGGTCACTCCTCTGTTCACCATCTTGTATTAAGTGTATCTGTGGTGAAAATTAATATTTACTTAGAGGGATGTGAAGTAACATGCAGACAGCACTCATCTTGTGTGTCCTGGTGTGTAAACCGCCCCTCCCTCCAGGAGACAGCACCTGTGGTGCCTGTGCTCGCCCAGAATTTCTCTCAAGGACACCCAGGTCTCTTAAAGAGCACTGTGACCTTTGCCATGTGCATGTAGTTTTATTTAGATGGCGATTCTTGCAGTGCTAGCAAACTCAGTGCTGCAGTCACAGACTTCACCGACCTCTCACCCTGTCCTGTGGCTGCCCCACCCAGAGTAGGGAGTCAGTCCTTCCTCCCAGGTCACACGGAGATGCCAGGGCTAATGGTAGCCCTACCAAGAATCCATGCGCTTCCTGTCAGTAACTCTGTTCCAGGCTGACAGCTCAGGAGCAGGGAGTCTAGGGTGAGTGAGCGGGTCCCTGCACATCCAGAGCTTCTGGCCCTCGCTGAGTGGTCAAGGCAGTGGCTGGGCTGAGGCCAACACAACAAGGAGGGAAGGAAATCGCAGCAGCAGAAGGAAATCTCTGCAGCAGCAGCAGCAGCCTGTGGTCTGAGATGAGTTGTTGCTGCTAAGTTAGGCAGAGCCTCAGATGTCACTCAGGGAGCCATGCTCCGCTCATGCGCTTCCTGCTGGCAGGAACTGACAAATGACAGTGAGACCTGGTCCAGAAGCTTAGCTAGCTGGGTGCCTCCAGCCCTTCTCCCGGCGGGGAAGCATCCAGGGCATGCGCTGGGTGTGCAGACAGTCTGTGGCTTCAGCCCTCTATGCCACCTACAGACCAGGTCCCCTGGCATGCAGTCCCCATGCCCCAAGAGGGGGTCCCGTGCACAATCCTCGGCAGCTTCTGATTGGGGGGCAGGGACCCTCTAGTGTTCTGTTGAAAACTACTGACCTAGAAAGACAAGCACAAAGTTCTACACTGACTTCAGGTGAATTCTTGGGACACTGAAACCTTACTTGTCCTAAGCCCCCTGTCAGGCTATGGGGTCAGCTTCCCAGTGGGTCCTCTGGATATCAAATGCCAAGGGGCAAGTGAGGAAAGAGCTGTCTGTGAATGGTCCCACTGTCTCTAAGAGCAACAGACATCCCTGGAGAAGACTTGTAAAGGGCTGAATTCCCAAGGACAGGAAAGCAGGGGCAACATTCCTGAACCCGAGTTCTTTCTTCCCAGAGTCCGAGAAGGAGAAAATCAGGTAGTGGTGTTAGAAAAGGAAGCTGCCAACTTAACCCCCAGGACACAGGAAAGAAGAGCTAAGTGCTGTGTGGACATGTCTCTAGGGGTGCTGTTGGTGGAGCCTCTGGGAGGCCTCAGACTGGATGAGGATAGGACTCCTGCCACATGGGTGGGTGTGGGGTGTGAGCGAGGCTCCTGCAGAAGCCTCAGTATAGTCTACCCTGCGGAAATACTGTTTAAAAGGTTGTTTGAGTTCTACTGTTGCTCTACTTCAGGAACAAGGGGGCTGGCATGATAATTATCTTAAAAACCATGTGTAACATCGTTTCTGCAAGGACATTTAATTTGATTGCCAAATAACCGACTTACAAAATGAGCTTTTGGAATCACACCTTAGTTAAGAGTTGAATATTGGGGCAGACTGTATTATTTCTAGCACACATTCCCTTTCTTCTCTTGGGAGTGCTCTTTCCTCCATGAAGTTGGCCTGCAGCATGAAACTTGCTTTGGCCAATGGAACAAAGTGGGTGCAAGTGGCGGGTGCGTCTCCCAAGCCCAGGCCTTCAGGGCACTGCATGCCTCTGCTTGCCTTTCTGCAGCACCCACCTACCATAGGAAAAACACGCCCCAGGGAGCCAGTTGTTTCTCGGTCTGGGCCCTGCATTAGACACTAGAGAAGACTTGCACTGACCCAGCCTGTCAACTCAGGAGGTAAAGGACACACTCACTGGGCTGCAGGGACCAGGATCAGCCTAGCAGGTAAACTCTTTACCCGTTGTTCTGGCTTCCGCGTACTGGAAATTATACACCAGGTCAAGTGTGATGAGCCTGTCTCGAAGAGAGCACAGAAGTCCCTTTTCCCAGTGAGGTGCTTCATACATGCACAGCATACCCAATACTTAGTAAATATATAGCTCCTTTGGAAAAACATCTTCCCAAAGTTATGACCACTTAAGAAAAGGCACATGGAAATGACATGCAAGTGCTTAAAGCAGCATGAAACGAGCATGAAACTGTAAACAAGGAGACATCATATTTACTTCTAAAGAAACATATGCTCAAGAGAATGAGATGCTTTAAGGCTGCACTGAAACAAACATTCAAAGATAGAAGAGTTGGAGTGTGGATCAGAAAGACAATCCAGAATCAAGAGCCACCAGCTGCTCAGTGTGGCAATGAAAGCCCTGGAGACCCGCAACTCTGGCCCTGGTGGCCATGGCACGTGATGCCTGCAGCAGTTGCTGACGTGGAACCTGTGCCCACAACCCAGGCTGGACAGGACCGTCTTTTACCCACACGTGGCAGACCAGCTCTGTACCACAAGATCTTACCAGAAGTAGGTCTTTGCCTAGTTCATCAATGTCTGTCACAAACTTCTCGATCGGCTGGGCAGATTTTGAATGAAAAGCCTGCCTGGGAAGGGCAACGTCTCTAGGCCAGTCCTCTTCTCCTGGAAGTCCAATCACGCTGCAAAAGAGCCACATGTGGGCATGGGCATTAGCTGCCATGCAGAAGCTGCTTGCTCACAAAATTCTCGAGAAAGGCAAGGAAAATTCTAGAGAAAGGAAAAGGAGACGGGCAGGGTCTCCCTCAGCAGGACGGTGATCACGGGGCAGAGGTGATCTCACAGAAAAACTAAAATTCACTGGGAGGGGAGGAAGGAAGAGATGACGTAGAAATGGAAAATATACTAGTAGGTGGTAAGCCCTGACTTCCTGAAAAAGTAGGACCTGTTTCATTCAGAGGACACCCACACGGGCATGTCCATTTCCTTATGCCTGAGTGCATTCCATGTTCTGACTAAACATCCTGGCATTGAAATGCTTTTGTGGTGCCCATCCAATATGGTCTATTACCACATAAATTTGGTTGCATTTTCAGTTAAAGAGCAATTCCCCAAACAGTGATTGCATGTATTACAATCAAACAGAAAAATGAGGCTTGGTATGCATGTCCTATTTTGTGCAAACACTATTTTATAAGGGAAGTCTATGGTGTTCCAAAGTGAAAAAACAATACATCAAGAGAGTATCATTTATGTTTCCCCTGAAAACCATTCCGGGAAAAAATAAAGGTTGGAAGAACATCAAGTGATAAAAAGCATAGCCTCTGGAAATACGGCAGTCTTGGGTTCAAATTCCGCACCTGCCATTTATTGGCAGGTAAGGACAAATTACTTAACATCTATGACCCTCAGTGTGTTTATGTAAAAGATAAAGGTAATTTACAGTTGTAATGAGGACCAGTTATAACTTATATAAATGCGTATAGCCTACAGTGTCTGACATGCAGGATGCCATATCAATACATTATCCATTATTATGACAATAAAAAATACTGTTGTTTTTAATCCAAGAAGCATAGGAAACACGTAACTACCACATTTAAAATGTGAACTGCTTGTAACCTATTTATGTGCAACTTAAAGTTCTTTGAAAATATTAATGGATCAATGGACCTAAAAAATTTATTCGTTACATAGGTATTATTTATATACAGGTAGAATGAAGATTTGAACAAGGGAACTCAGAGGATGCAGCAACTTGTTTCTCACCCAGACTCTGGAAAATGGATCTAAAAAAACACAGTGTAACAGCCAGGACACATAGCTATTCAAACACCAGGCTCAATTACTGGAACCACAGCTAGAAACGGGGCCAGCCTGCACAAGGTCTTCCCTTGGCCTGCTGGCTGGGACTAATGCCCAGGAGGGCATGGCAGCAAATGTCCTGGATCTGCAGGGCTTTGCTCCCCTTCCCTCAGCAGGACAGAGCCCGGGCCACACCCTTTGGCTGGGAAGAGAGATACATTTGTCATCCCTGCCCCTGCCCTGCCCCGGGTGTCTGGCAAGACACTGCAGTCCTACTATGTTGGGCATCCAGAGAGCTGCTTCCTAGAGGCAGACAAAAACAGATTCATGGAGACGTTCACTACAGCCCAAAACAGAAGAGATAACTTGAGCAACACACAAATCTGCTTAGGAGCTAGGTCTACAAGAGGAGTAAAAAGAAGAAAACAAAAACCTCACTATCAAGTATGAAAGGCAATGCATGTGTATGTTTTTGGAGAGAATGGGGTGGGGCAGACGAAGAAAAGAAGACTGTCTATTAGAGACTTTTGAGAATTTTCTTTCATTTGTTTTTAGCTTTCAGCCCTTTTTATTTCAATATTATTGCTTATCATCACCAGTCACCTTAAAATTGATGATAACACCTCTTGGAAATCATTTAAAATATTTTTATTTGCAGCTTTGCATATGCCTATGCTGAGTCAAGTCTTGCAAGGATGATCAACTGAACCGCCAAAAGCCTTCAGAGACACACATACCAGTGGATATACATTTATATGTGTAGTTCTGAGTGTGTCGTCTCTTCTGATTCCTGAGACATTAGGCCAGGCGCATCATTCCCATTTTATAGATGGGAAAACCAAGAATGAAGAGTAAAATGAACTGCCAAAGTCTGTGAACAGTGAGTTCAGTCAGAGTCCAGGGTGAACCCAGTTCTCCTTATTCCAAATCCAATGTTTTATTTCCACTTAACTATGATAGTGCTCTTAAAAATGCTCTGAAATGTCATAGGCTAAAACCATTGTTTCACTTTCAAAATACTTTGAAAGTTTACATCTTCTTAAACCCAGAAATGTTTTTCCCTTTAAGGTATGTGAATAAGACTTTCCTTAAAAAAATTCATTTCATGTCCAGTATCAACTTTTACAGCTCACGTATGAGTATTGTGAAATTCTGACATCCATCACAAAGTGCTTGCATCTAATTGCACTATTTGGGCAGCTGAATATAAGTCTTAAAAGTTGACATTTATACTGGAAAGACTGGCAGGGTACAATCTATAAATGGCAGGGAAGGTGGAAACAGAAATAATTTTCCAAGTACTTGAACAGTAACGCTAGGGTGCAGCATTGTCCCTTTTCTCTGGCAAGGTAGTGTGTTCAGAGGAAAGGGCCTAACTTCAGGAAACAACGCCGGAGACCATGAAGTAAAATCTAAAGGCACGAAATACATGGTAGAAATATGGATGCATACATCTTCACATGCACAAACATGCAGATGTGCAGGGGCTGTATAAGTTACCTCATAGCTATGGAGTATGCAAGCCAGAGTCTCATGTCTCAGGTGAAGTTAAAACAGGAGAAAGCTTAAATAATTAGTGAAAAATTGTAATAACAACAATAGCTAACATTATAAAAGCACCTACTGTGTGTCAGGCATACGCCCTTCACAGGGTGTTTCCAATGACTTTCTCGAAGTTGCATACTTAGAACTACGAGAACCTGTGATCTCATTTCCTACTTTGGTGTCCCAAAGAAAAGGGGCATGTGTAGCACACTATCCTTGGCTCAGGAAAGCCGAGCCAAGCCATGCAGAACCAACCTGGGTGACCAAGACTGCTTGGTGGGGATAAGGACTGTCACTAGGCCACAAGTGCCCGCCTCTGAGTGGGCGCACGTGGAATGACCACAAGCAGACGGCGTATCTGAGCTAGGAGCTGGAGTTCAGCCAAGTGAAGAGCCACACAACAACACACAAGTTTCCTGAGCAGAGCGGCTGGGCCACAGGTCAGGAAGGGTGCTGTGTGAAACAGTACTTCTACCACACCTCCACTCGCCACACAAATACAACACTGTCTGCAGCAGCAGCGGGGCAAGAAAGACAAGAGATAAACACATGTGAACACAGAGGAATGTCACCGTGAACGTTTCGATGCTGTGGACACTGACAGAAAATTACAGTTTTACTTACTCCAAGATTTTTCCTAGTTGATCGACATCTGAGCTTCCACGAAAAAGAGGCCTGAAAGAATAAAGATACATCTTAAACAAGGCATTTTCTCAGATTCCACGGCAATCATACTTGTTATTATCATCGTTTAACAGGCAACAAAATATGCTTTATGAGGGGGGAAGAAGTAAAGAACCGAGAAGTCCTTCCTTGGTAAGTCAAGATTTCCGCATTTCTCATACAGGTAAGGGCCTGCCATGACACCTGGGGGCATGGACTTCCCTGTTTTACAATCACTGTAACAACAGCTCTATCAAATGCAGGGTCAGGTTTCAAGTTTGACTTAACCTTGTGTTCAGTCTCAAGTCACGGGTGCACAGCATTCTCTGAAACGCTCTCTGGGACATCCTTCTCTGAGACCCTGCCATACAGCTCTGCTGTCTGAGCACTTTCTCGGGAGTCCTGAATGCTGCAGCAAGCCACCTCTGAGTTTGTTTTTCTGATTCAATCACTTTCCTTGCTCCCAATACTACACAGCTAACCAATACCAGTTCTGAAATTAACTCTGGGCTTCAGAGGCAACTGTGTCTTTTTTCCGAACAACACACTGCCTTCCTTGAGTACACTGAATATTTAACTGATGATTGAATAAGCTCATTTTGTGAAATGTCTAGCCTTTCCCCACATAGAAAAGGAGCCCCCGGAGGGAGGGGACTTCCCTAGGAATCTCCATAACCTGTGCCCTAGTGTTTTACTTAACAGGTGCACAGTGAGTATCTTATTTGATTTTGTATACACCTGTGGTCTACGTCAATGTTCCCTGTTTGCTCAACAATTGACATAAACAGGTATCTCAACGTTAATGTATGTACACAAATATCAGTAGCCTATTAACAGGAATCTTCTTTTTATATTACATATAGATTGACAGAGTCTTAAGCTTGACTTCTTAAATATTTTCTATGCACAGTAAATGAACTCACTGTATGTCATAGATGAAGAATTCTGCAAACAGTCATTTCTGTGGTAGACACCATAAAATTCCTCAACCATCCTCTCTTTTCATGTTATTCCTGAAAATAATTACTTCCAAATGCAGTGGAAAATAATTTACTTATGGCAGCATTATGGGCCGAGTTGTGTTCCCCCAAATTCTTATGCTGAAGCTCGACTCCCAGTGTTTCAGAATGTGACTGGATTTGGAGACATGGCCTTTACAGAAGTGATTAAAATAAGACCTTCAGAGTGCGTCAATCCTACCTGACTGGTGTCCTTATGAGAAGAGGCCATGTGGTCACACAAAGAGACTTGAGGGTGCACATGCACACAGAGAAAGGACGCGTGAGGAACAAAGAGGAGGCCAACCAAGAGAGGAGGCCGCAGAGGAAATTGCTTTCCTGCTGACACCTTGATCCTGGATTTCCGGTCCCAGAACTGTGAGCAGTACATTTTTGTTGTGTAAGCCACCCAGGCTGGCATGTTGCTGTGGCGGCCTTAGTAAACAAATACAGGCAACTTGCACATCACCAATATAGCCAAAGTCACAAAGAATCACCCAGTTGGGTTCTAAAAGACATCTAGTCAGGCTTTAGAGGACAGCACGGTGAGAAGTGAAAGTTTTTTCTAAAACTTTCCAAAAAAGGCAAAAAAGAAATCTTAACAGCTGTAATTCACCAAGCATGAATGTTGAATTTGGCATTATGCCAAGTGCCCCAAACATGATCGCATGTTATTCTCACAAAAACTCCAGGAGAGACATGCCCTATTTTCAGATGAGGAAACTGAGTATTGGAGATGTTACGTGACTTAACTAAGCACACAATATTTTTTCCTCCTTTTTTTTTTTTTGGTTAACATGTTGATCTTTCAGGATGCTTTTGGACTGGGCATATTTGGGGATGGACTATGCTGGGAGTGCCATTTCTCCCTTTAGGACCTTAGGAAAGTCTCTTAATTTCTTTGAATCTTAGCTGTGTCACTCGCAAAATGGAGATAGTGACACACCTTCTAAGATCAACTAAGTGAGGTTGTGAATATATCATCTACTAGAATGCCCAGCTTATAGCGGACCTAGATTAATTGGTAACTACACAGACACCCACATACAAATACACACAGTGGGACACCTCTCATCTTCCTGACTAGTAATATTATCACAAACAGTAATGTAAAGTACCTCACATGGTGACCAAGAAAGGAAGGAACCATTTGTCACCATGTGGTGACCTCCCAAGTCATATTTAAGACTAACAGTCTTTCCTGCAAGGTCATTATATATTCCCCACCCATTATATGTCTTGCAACTTTGTCAAGAAAAGTATTTTCTGAAGGATGAATGCCAAATTTTCCAATAAGGATTAATAATTCTGAATTGGCAATATCATTTCCTCTTCTGTATGTTTTCCAAAAACAAACCCAAAAACCCCCCATTCACCATGTATTAAAGTCTGTTAGTGAGGTGACTTTTCTCAGGTCAAATTACAGAGGGGACCAAATCTCAGATTAGATGCCTTTTTAAACAAATAACTCAGAGAACACACACACACACACACACACACACACACACACACGTATATATAATTCACAATCTCAATGACAGTGGAAAATAGCATTTAGAAGCAGGGTATGCTTTCCAGCAGATGACAAGCACATACTAACGCGTCTGTTAGAAAGGAAATGGTCCATACACAATGGAAGAGGAAAGATTTTGTTTAGGTACAATTCTTTCATTGTGCTAAAAAGACAAGGAAGTTATGGATCATCCTACAGAACACCTTAGTGACCTGCACTTGATCTGCAGCTGCAGCCATGCTTTCACCACTGTCATTTTTCTGGATTAGTAGAGGAGACTTCCATGTTCATAGAGTGACCTTTCGAAAAACATTGCCCAGGGGAATATCTACTATTTTATACTCACTCTCATGGTCCATTCTAGAGTTGTTATTGGTTAAGTTAAGAGTTAACTTATCACCTTACAATTAACATCTATTCAAATCACCACATTAAGCAAAATGTCAATTAACTGACTTACTGAGTAACCACTAATTGAGTGATCACCCATTAAGCACACAGGGTTGCAATCAGTGCTGGGAGACACACACACACACACACACACACACACACACACACACACACACACACTCTCTCTTTCTCTCTCTCATATAAAATATGTGATATTTAAATTTATATAATATGTGGTCTTTACATATATGTAACATACACACATATAAGTAGTATTTAACTTATATTATAAACCTTATACAACAAATTTGTTAAAATATAAATTTGTACATATTTATAAACTTTACCATACACTCAACCATAGTGATCCTTGTCCCTACAGGAGACAAGATATACAAATGCAGGATCATTAAATGGAAATGCATCTCATTTCTCTGGTGGAAGACAATGATGACTTCCTCCTTACTAGAAGGTTAGAAGGTGGCCTGATTAACCTTCTTTTACTGAGAGAAGCCAGGTAACTTATCGAGAAGCACAGGTGAGTTACGTGGCAATGCTGGCCTGATGGACTTCAATGAACAGCAGAACAGAAGCCATGTTTTAGGAAGGTCCATCTGGCAGGGGTTTGCTGAGTTGATTATGGGGTAGAGATGGAGCCAGAGAGGACAGCTGGGAAGGCAGAGACCAGGGAGATGACAAGAGCCTGGACTAGGGGGACAAGGAGATAGGAAAGGTAGAGACACTTACTTACAGGAGACGTCCAGAGCCTGGTGCAAGTGGAGCATGACTTGGAAGAAGAGGAGGAGATTGGAAGATAATTATTTTAGTTTTAGACATGCTCCTTTATGATAACATCATGTAAAATACTTTACTGAAATTTGACAATAAATAATATGCAAACAGGGAAGTCAGGCATATCCAGTTATGCACCCCAGAGCACTGAAAACATGGATGTCCACATAAAAGCCTGTGCACGCACATTCACAGCATTATTCATGATAGCCAAGGAATGGCAACAACACAGATGTCACCAGTGGATACACAGAATGGGATGCAGCCATCAAATGAGGTATCATTCAATCACTAAAAGGACTAGGTGCTATCACAGCATGGAAGGCCCTTGAAACCATTATGCTCAGTAAAGGAGCCAGTCACAAAAGCCCACAGTACATGACTCCATTTACAGAGATCACGCAAATTTAGAGTCAGAAGGTAGACTAGTGACTACCTAGGAGTATGGGGGAAGTAACTGCACAGTAGACGGAATGTCTGTGCCCTTGAAAAATTTCTCAGCTGAAGTCCTAACCCCCAAGATGATGGCTTTAGGAGGTGGGATCCCTGGGCTGTGATCAGTTCATGAATGGGATTGGTGCCTCACAAGAGAGACCCAGAGGGCACCCCTGCCCCTTTTGCCATGTGAAGACTGAGCAGGAGATAGCCATCCATCTATGTATGAGGGGATGGACCCACCAGATACCGACTGAGCTTGGACTTCCAGCCTCCTGAGCTCTGAAGAGTACATTCTGTTGTTTATAAGCCACCCTGTTCATAGTGTTTTGTGATAGCAGCCTGAGTTGACTAAGACAGACTGCTAATGGGTGTAGGGTTTCTTTTTGGGGTGATGAAATGTTCTAAAATGGATTGTAATATATCTGTGGATATATTAAATTAAAAAACCACTGAATTGTACTATTTATGTTGGTGAATGATATGGCATGTGAATTATATCTCAATAAAGCTGTTAGAAGATAGTTAAGAAATTATACCACCAAGCAAACAATATAGATTTAGAATAAAAAAATTGCTAAGAAAACTCCTTAGGCCTAATAAATGAAAGGCTTGAGTACATTACATGGTATTTTTGTGTGTGTGTGTAAGTCAAGGTGTCTCTGTGTCACCCAGGCTGAAGTACAGTGGTATGATCACGGCTCAACACACCCTTGACCTCCTGGGCTTACTCCTTCTGCCTCAGCCTCCTGAGAAGGGATTATAGGTGTGTGCCACCACACTTGGCTGATTTTTAAATTTTTTGTAGAGACAAGGTTTGGATATGTTGTCCAGGATGGTCTTGAACACCTGGGCTCGCATCATTCTCCTTCCTAGCCCTCCCA